CATGTTACCACCATCTATCTGCTCGTAGGTTGTGAAGCAATTCCTGTTCGGAGACATATGGTATGAGGCTGCAGTATCCAGAAACCACACATCTCCACGATGTGCCTTCTCATCTACAGCCAAGGCGAGATCGTCTTCAGAACTGTTGTCCACTTCTGCCACGACAACTGAACCTTGTTTCTTCTGTTGCCCTCTTCTCTTGGGACAGTTGTACTTCCAATGCCTCACCAACTGTACTAGATCCGGACGCCTTATGTCTGATCTCTCTCGTATGAAGAGCAGACCTGACATCCTCCAACGACACGCTTTCTTTACCAACAATAAAAGAATCAACGAAATTCTCATATGAACTCGGCAAAGAAACCAGCAGGATTAGGGAAGCATCCTCGTCATCAACTTGAACATCTATATTACGCAGATCCAGCAAAATAGAGTTAAGCTGTTCGAGATGTTCCCTCAAAGGCGTACCTTCTTGCATCCTCAAGCGGAACAAACGTTGCTTGAGATGCAGCTTGTTGGTTAGAGACTTAGTCATGTACAGACTCTCTAGTTTCAACCACAAGCCCGCGGCAGTCTTCTCAGCAGCGACTTTAATGATGACGTCATTAGACAACGATATCATGATGGTCGAGTGGGCCTTCTCCTCTAGGGTATTCCACTCATCGTCATCGACCGCTGCCTTCTTCTGTTTCGCAACAGCGGCCCCCACAGCCCTTGCTATTTTAATAAAGCCTGCATCTTGATCTGCCATATAGCGAAGCTGTTCTTCCCCGTGAACTTTTCGATCTTCATGTTCACCGACGTCATTCTTCTGAATCGAAAACCCTAGCCTGATTTCCAGCCGCGGCTCTGATACCACTTGTTATAAACGCGCTGCTATGGATCGGGAAATCGCCGGAATCGACAAAGCAAGAATACGAAAGCGAGAATCGAAAAACACAGACACACGATTTACGTGGTTCACTAACACGATGTGTGTTAGCTACGTCCACGGGCGAGAAAGACCCCCGATTACCAGTCGTAGCGGCTGATAGTCCGATTCAAGTCACATCAACATTAGACAAGTTGTGCTTTAGACTTTTCCTAGGCAATGTAGTCAAAATCACGCTTTAAAACTTAAAAACTTACGTTTTTAGGTCACTAAAACGCTTCTACATAAAATCTCAGTTTTTACAACTTACGTAGTTAAAAACTCCGCTTTAAAGCTTAAAAACTTACGATATTACGCTTGTAGATCACCAAAATGTTTCTACATAGAAACTCGCTTTTGACTACATTGTTCCTAGGTAGAGCAAAGATCGCGGCCCCTAAGCAGTTCTTCGCAACCACGATCTTGTCCTTCCTCTCCTGCGAACTTCTGAGTTTCGCTAAAGATCGCGGCCTGTGGTAAAAAGATCGCGGCCGGGATCTTTTGACGTAGCCCGCGATCTTGTTCGCGTCCATAAAAGGACGATCACGGGAACTGCTCGGACCAGAACTCATTTCTCCCAAAAAATTCGATTTTCCTGACCTAGAACTCGAGCTAGGATGCAGGAACTCAAAATTTCTTCCCCAAAGTTCGTTTTTCATTTCTCCTTTATCTAATTCGGGTTTTGAGCTTCTAAGCGTGTCTGCAAGTAGCTCAAGGTAAGTTTTAATCCAATCTTTCTGTTTTTGCATCATGTGGGCACCGAATTAGGGAAAAGAGGGAGACATTGGGTTTTTGCTAAATTTTTTGGAAAATGAGGTTGTTTCTTTGATTTCTTGGTGAATGAGAATCAATGTATGCTTGCTTTATTTAAGGTGTGTGGATTCGGAGGCCTTGGTGGGAATTTGTGTACGATTGGATTTTGAAAATTTTGCTCGCCAAGTGCTCGATATTCTGCCCGAACCACACTCTCTTTCAAAATTTGTTGATTGCATGCATGATTCTAAACTTTAATGATGTTGTTTAAACCCCCGGTTAGGCTCAAGCATCATCAATTACAGTTATAGGTATTTAGTTCTTGAGCATAGTTTTCCTCAATTTGCAGATTAATAACATGTTACCATGCTTTGTTGGTGCGCAATTTCAACTCACATGGAGCTCAATTTCTTGTCATTTTTAACTGTAGATGCATTCATTTTAACTCATATTAAGATACTACAGTTTTACTTTCCCCTGTTCTAACCCAGAAGTTTATCTTTCGACCCCCATTTTTCTCTTTCAGACACGTTTTTCTGCCAAGTGTGGGGGTAGAACTCCTTGTATGCTGGAACTGTTTTCCCACCTTAATTTGATTGTATTCTGGATTTTTAGGGGAAATGATAGAGGAGAGGGTTCTGATCCTCCAGAGAGACGGTCCCCCTTCTCGAGCTTCATTGAGTACTTTAGGAGGAACCGGCGAAGGGACCGGCGAGCTGCCCTAGTTGAGCCTACTCCAAGATATGAGGAGCATCAATATAATTCAGACCCCGAGCCTCAGGCAGAGGAATAGGTTGAGCAGCAACCCCATCAGCCCCAAATGAGAGCTCCAAGGGCAGTGATGCCCCATGCGAATCACCACTTCCTCCAAGCCATCACATTCCTCTCTCGAGACCATCTCCAATGCTTCCGGGGAATGGCTACATGGGAGAGTGAGTGCCTCAACCGGGTACTTTTTGCTTAGTTGGGATTGGTAGACCGGATTAGGGACAGGATTAGAGACCCGGTGTGGCGCAGGGTTCTAGGGATCAATGAGAGGATTTACAGAGTCCTCACACTAGAGTTCCTTTGCACCCTGCGGACCAAATTCGTCAAGGGAGCTGCTTTAGAGGACAACCCCCTGATCAGCTTCAGTTTGGGAGGGGTAGAGAGGAAGATGACGATGAGAGAGTTCGCTTTCTCTCTCGACATCTACCCTCCGGAGTTCGTCACCGACTGCAACTCCTACATCTCTTTGAAGATGGAAGCTGAGCTTCACTTTCCTCATGACTTCTATGAGAACATCATGAAGATCAACGGAGGATCCATAACAGATTAGAGCACTGGGCCACATTTAAAAAATGGTGAAGAGGGGTGGGCCATAACCCTATAAATATTGAAATATATACCCAAAATCAGAAATTTTACAAGTACTATACGAGCTTTGTATCCGGGGAGGGTTGGGCCGTGGCCCGGGGGCGGCCTCTCTAGATCCGCCGCTGATGAAGATCCATGGATGTCGACCCTGGGATGTGAATCTATCGAAGGGGAGTGAGGTTTTACCTGAGTTCCAGCTCATTCATCATGTCATTTCTCGCTCATTTGGTGGGAAGCACGGGAGCAAGGAAAACCTCACAGCTAGAGATGTGACCTTCATCTGGAGCATGCAGAGCGACGTCCGTCTTCATCTAGACTGAGCCATTCTGCAGGCTCTTTCTCTCTATGGTCCAGACTAGAGACTTCAGGTTTTGCAAGGAAGAGCCTACATCACCAGGATCGCAGATACCTCGGGGTTGATGTGATTGCAGCCGAGATTCAACTGGATACTTACACAGTTCCAGTTTCTTTTTCACATCTGAAGACCTATTTGAAGACTCTGGAGCAGAATGAGGAAGAAATCTAGGATGTTCGGGGCCTAAAGTTCCCGGAGACCAACGGTGATTGTAGAGTGAGTTAGTCACACTCTCCCCGGTTGTCCCTTTGGGAGGAGGCATATCTCATCTTCATCAGGTCCGGCTCGCCAGAGCTTCCACGCCGAGCAATCCAGCCGACCTGAGACATCTTATGTCGGGGACGCCCAGAATCCTTTGCTCATCTGGAGACCATCCTGAGGAACTAGCAGAGGGACACAGAGTGGAAATATTGGTATGGTCCTTCTCCTAAGACGTCTTTCACTAATAGACCGTGGTTCTTATGAATTTGGTTCGGTCCGAATCGTTGCACACCTCTAGGTGGATCCGAGCTAATGTCTTCATTTCTTGCTTGGGGGGCGGTGGGGGGTGGAGTCGGATTGTTTGTTGGTGGTTTAGAGAATACATAGTAATGAAGAAAGTGAAGTGGAGATTGCTGACATGTGCATGGAAATACGGGCATAGCTTCAGCAAGCAAACGGGCTCCATATTTAGTTTGCGTGCCGGGAAGCAAACGCAACAGCCACATGATGGCGCGAACTCTTTGCAGTTGGAAGGAAGAGAAAATTTGACCGTCAATGTCAGTCATTTTTTTATACCACATTAATTGTTGATTGTAACAATTCTATGTAAGCCATTAATAAAAGTTCCACGACACTTCTATAAAAAAAAAGTCTTTTAGAAAATATAAAATGACATAACGTCACATATTTTTTTCGGGGGCCAGGGCTAAGGCTGGGTAAGGGTGCAAAAGAACAATATTTTTTCATGGAAAAGAATAATTGTAACTTCCCAAACCTCTTCCCAACAACATATTGCCCGTTTTGGGCCTTTACCCTCACGGATTCCGACTTGGGGTGCATATCAAAGTGACTTCACATAAGGTCACCATCTTTGTAGTGTTTCACGCTAAGCACGCTTAACTTCGGAGTTCTCACAATAACTCCGCTCATTTTCAAAAGCGGGGGGAAGAGATCTTTTTTTGCAATGGAAAAAAGGGCAAGATTTTCACCCCAAAATGAGACTTGTCAATTAAGGTCGGTTTCTTAATTATCAACCATATATGTCTCTCGTGCTTTGTTGATGTGAGATTTGCTTAACGTGTTACCTACACCCTCCCCCCTTTTCGGTCTCAAGGTCTTCGTTGAGGGTTGCCCCACCATCGTTCAAAAGGGATACAAAGAGACTCTGTACCACTTGTAACATCCCAAAATTTTTTCGGATAAGATATTGTCAACTTTTGCCCTTTAACCTCGCGCATTTAGACTTGGGGTGAATATCAACCTGACTTCCCATAAAGTCACTCATACTTATGCTTCAAGCTGAGCATGCTTAACTTCAGAGATTTCACAATGACTCCTCCATTTTACCCTTAAATGCGTCTTGTTAGTTAAAATTGATATATTACTTGTGAATCATAAAATCTCTTTCGTGCTTTGTCGCCGTGGTATCCACTCAAAAAAAATTTAAATCGAAGAAAATTTGGACATGGGGGCTGATTCGTAAATAAATAATTATTCTGATATTTTCGACCGGACTCGACCAGTTCTGCCTCGGCTCCCACTCGTTCTGTTTCTCTATCTGGGTTACCCTCCAGCTCGTTGTCGATCTCTTTCCTTTCATTTCCCCCGGGAAACCCTAACTTCTCCAATCTAGGGTTTACCTCGCTCTATCGTTTCCATCTAACCATGTTGGCGCTGTAAGGCTTGACGCTTGGTCGGGAGAGGTACAGGTTAGCGTTTCGCATTCTCAAGTGCCTGTTAGAAAGAACAATTATGTATCATCGGGATCGGGGAGGAGCCGGCAGCGTTTCATCGAGATCGGAGCTTGTAGGAGGACGCCTCGATCGGAAGCGCATAAATGATGCCCTTGACAAGCACCTAGAGAAATCGTCTCCATCAACTTCGAGGGCCTTGAGCAGCAAGGACAAAGAGAGGTTGTCCGTACCATCTACTTCCGCTGGCAAGTCCCAGCTCGATCATCGCGATTCTCGACCAGCTTCTCTATCTAAGAACAAGTGCTCCGATGGTAGGTTTTCTGGTTGATGTTGGTCAAACAGATTATGTGGTTTGCCTTTTTTATGGTCTGTTTTGTGCTTCTTCATTCATGCTTAGCTGTGGACCAACCACATTTGCTCACCTGTTTACAGAACATTCTTTGATTTTTGATAAGTTTGAATTTCCTGTCAAGATTGCTATGCTAAGTTAGCAATTGGTAGAAATTGGGGAAGCAGTCATCTTGTCTCACAGATTGTTGTTCAACTGCATCTCTATGGTTTTCGTGTGTTCCGTAGGAAATGAGTCATGCATTGATGAATTGCTGTCTTTTTGGCCTATTGAGTTTCATGACTTCTCCTTTTCGTACACAAAACTCAAAATCATTCATTTTCATGTCGTTGGGAAACCTAAAATGTGCCACTTGTGATGTGAGATGTCACACTCGTAGCTTCTTCCTTTCAACAATGCATTATCCAAAGAGCCGAATGGTTTGCTGATATCTATTGTGGTGGCCTTTAACTCTTTTACCTATTTCTGATGAGTTGATTACCTTGTCCCTTGCTCTGCCTTCTTCATGCCAACCTCAATTCAGTTAAGTCTGAACACTTCCAATTAAGTTAGACTCGTAAGATTAGATGACGAGGAAATATAGGGGCAACAGCTTATCGACACAAACTGAATTCATTCACCGTGCCTATTTCCTTAAACGAGAAATCAGTTGATGCTTATATCTCATACTATTCTCCTCGGGAAAAGGAGGATAGTTGAGAGGAAGCATTTTTTTTTTCAATCAGTACTATTCATTACAAGCAATTATTAATGAACCCAGGAATATGATTCATTTCAGCTCAGTTAATGTTTGGCTGATCACAACAACAGAGAGTCTAAGGCTGCCATTACTCATCACTCTTCTTTGTGCCTCCATGAAGTTGATGGACAAAAATGGCCTTCCTCTCATCTATCTTCCTTTCCCAAAGGAGGATAGTATAGATTAAGCCTAATTTGAATATATGTTTTTGGAATTAAACTTGCTTTGTCTGATCTCTTGTAGAAAGAAGAATAGTGAATGAATCCATTTTGTGTCAATAAGCATTCCTCATAATCTTGTCTCTAACTTAATCACAAGTGTTCTGATTTAATTAGATACTAGGGGCTGATATAGTTTGAACAAATTAAGGTGTCATTGCAGGTCATCAGTTAATATTCATCTCCTTTCTATTGCCGTGAAGTTGGAACTTTAACCCTTACATTCCTGACTTGGCTAATATTTGGAGAACTGCAGAGGAATCTGAAACAGATAGTGAAGAGTCAGACGTAAGTGGTTCCGAGGGGGATGACACATCCTGGATTTCATGGTTCTGCAACCTTCGAGGAAATGAATTTTTCTGTGAAGTGGATGATGAATACATCCAGGATGATTTTAACCTGTGCGGATTGAGCAGTCAAGTTCCGTATTACGATTATGCACTTGATCTTATATTGGACGTGGAATCTTCTCATGGTAAGCTTTGCTGAATTCATGAGGCATCATTTCAAACTTATGAATTACATTTATAGCCATAGGTTTCTGTCAGCTATTCTAGGGGTTACTGAACTTCAACACATTTTTGTTCTACCCTTGCTAACCTGCAGTGGTTTTTAGTACTCAAATGCAAAATCGCTTTTTCGTGTGTTTAGTTGCAAGAATACTTTGTTTTCCTTTTTCCTATTTTTTTCATCTCTGGATTGCATAACCTTGGACAGTCTACGTAAGCACGTGGGCATTTGTAGTGAATCTTTTCCCTTTACAGAATCATTGAGCAAATCCAAGTGTTTGACTAGCCGTACTTGGGTTATGTAGTTGATGTAAACCTTACTTAAAAATAAATCTCTTTGGAGTTCGACCTCTTGGGCTTCTTTATAGGTTCACTGTCTCAGTGAGATGCCACATGATATTTAGCACCTGTGATGGGCTGTTCATGCACAGGTGATATGTTCACTGAAGAGCAGAATGAGTTGGTGGAGTCAGCAGCGGAGATGCTTTATGGTTTAATTCATGTGCGTTATATACTCACTAGCAAGGGCATGGCTGCAATGGTATATTCTCTACTGAATTGCTTTGCTCCACAGCTTTTTCCCAGTTTTCTTTTTTCTCTTGGGTTTAGTTTTAAGTTTGGTTATGTGGAAAAAAAAAACATGTGCAGCTGGAGAAGTACAAGAACTACGACTTCGGGAGATGCCCTAGAGTTTACTGCTGTGGACAGCCCTGCCTTCCAGTTGGCCAATCTGATATTCCTCGTTCGAGTACTGTTAAAATTTACTGCCCGAAATGTGAAGACATATATTACCCTCGATCAAAGTACCAAGGCAGTAAGTATCCTCTGTTATTATTCGACAATTGTTCTTTTGCTTTCTGTGCTGGGTATCTTTGATGGAATTGGTTTGCTGGTTTTCACCAACACATGCACAGACCTTGACGGAGCATACTTTGGGACAACGTTTCCTCACCTATTTTTGATGTCGTATGGGCACTTAAAACCACAGAAGGCAACACAGAGTTATGTGCCAAGAGTTTTTGGGTTCAAGATCCACAAATCCTCCTGATTTCAGAAAGGCCCTGAGGTGCTTGGGTCCTATTGCAGCTATTGCAGTGACCGAGAGTGATTGATTCTTCCCAGGAAGCTCCTCTGCCGAACAGATTAGTAACAGGCGCAGTGTGGGGTGGGAACCTGAGAATGGATTGCTCAACGTAAATCGGGTGTAGTAGTGTTATTTGTTTAATTCAACGTATTAGCATATGTAATATTTTCTTGTTTGTAACCATTTGCGTAAATTGCACTAAAATTACTATTTTGTTTCACATTTAACTGAAATTAATTCAATATTCCAAGTTTGGTAAATTGCAGTTACCTTCCATCAAATTCAGTTTATGGCATTGGTTTTTTCATGAAGTGCCTAACACAACTGCCGAGCCACTCAAATTTAACTCAGAAAAAATTAAAACCTGACAAGTCATAAAACCATTGTTAAGAACCGAACTGGATCAACGGAAGACCAGTGGAAAAACTTAAGCAATTAAAAGTTAAAACTATGTCTTTTCCTTGGCCAGCTTAGGATCGACCTAATGATTTTTAGCGGTTAGACATGAAACCTGATTTTTAGCGGTTAGACATGAAACCAGATGTACTACTCTGCTTTTATTAGTCAGCTAATTTACTATTTTAACCATAAAAAATTAAGAGGAAAAATATTTTAAGTTGAACTAAAACCATCTGTTAGTACCATCTAGCTCGTGGCAGAAACAAAAATAATTTGTTGTGCGGGCTTTTGACTCACGATTCGCTCGTCTGATCTCGTCGGGAGGAAAGGAACCTGTGGAACACGGCCCCACGGGGATGCCCTCGGATTATGCTCCGACGATCTAGTCAGTATATAATGTAGAGAGATATGAGAGAGTATTTAGAGGGAGAAAGTGTAGAGAGAAAGACAGTATAAAGTGAGAATAGAAGTTGAGTCTCCTTCCTTGGAGGGCTTGGAAGCCCTTATATATACGTAATGGGAACCGGTTGCGCGGTAGGCCAGGTGTCCCCGGTTGCGCGACAGGTTGGGCCTGACCCTTTCTTTGAATAACTCTATTTTAGTTGCTCTCTTAACTCCGAGTCACCGGTTGTGTGGCAGGTTGGGCGTCATTATATATGCTTGTGCGCCACAATGTCGGTGCTCTACTACTTATTGTCAGTTCGGCTCAATAACACCTTGAACACTATGCTAGTGAGTCACAATGCCAGTGAGCTACTACTTAGTTACAGTTTGGCTCAGTAACACCCCGAAAGCTATGCTAGCGCTAGGAGTGGCTATAAGGTCCGGTCCGGTTAAATTGGACCAAATTGATCCGATCCTAGTCCGGTCTTTTCGGGAATATAAGGACCAAAGATTGGATTGGATACAGTCCGGTCTTGATCCGGTCCGGTCCCAATTTTATCTTGATTTTAGGTGTTGGGGGTCTCTTATCCGGTTTTTTACCTCAAATCTAAGCCCAAATATGAGATTGCATTGTTTGCTATCCGGTCCCAGTCCGGTCCCGGTCCGGGTTATACGGTCCGATTTCGGGTAAAATCAAACAGTCCAAAACCAAATAGCCAGCCCTAGCTAGCGCGCCACAATGTCGGTGTGCTGCTACTTAGCCTCTGTTTGGCTTGACTAGTAACGCGTCGCTGGCAAGGCGTCACAATGCTAGTGTGCTACAACATAGTCTCAGTTTGGCGCTGATTCTTGGTAACATGCCACAGTATTGATGCGCTATTACTTAATCTGTGCATGGCGGTTTTATATTTTTTACCTTACATTATAGTACCTAAACTTTCAAGACTTTACAAACAAGTTCAATGGGTTGGTATGGAGAATTTCATTTCACGAGTTGTTGCTAAAAGTCACATTATCAAAAGTGGGCCGACCTTAAGTTGACTTGACCCTATCAACCCTTACAAGGTCAAAAGATGACCCGATCCTGTAGACAAACTTACTCAGGGGATTGGTTAGTAGGTCTCTAGAGTCAATCTTACACACCTAATATATAACCTTCTTTTTGTTTTTTCTTTTTCCAATGAGCAAGTTTGTTAAACAAATTTCAATTGTTGACTCAATCAAACAAGTGGGTCAAGATTTGATAGGTCGAAAAACAATTAACTTCATTAACTCGGAGTAGCTAGCTGTGAAAGGGTATGATACAAAGTGTTTGGCAAAAAAGAAACAAAAAAAGGAAGAGTTTGATTGGCTTACTCGGACAAGCCATTAAAATCTGCTTTTTTTTCCACCAAAATGAAAATCGATCGGTATTGACCAAAATTTTAATGAATTTGACCATTCAAACTAGGCGGGGAGAACATAATAAGATGATCGGTTATGATCGACTACAATCCAAGTGACTTATTCGAGCTCAGTTTATCCACCATGCATGGTTTTCTCGACTACGAAATACACATTCTTATGTAGTGACATGCCAACATTTTATATCGATCGATCTCTAACAGTGATTTCGTCTTGTATTTGTACAATAAAGGTACAGTAGTTGTTCTCCTAGTAGTGGCCATCAATTAGCTGTGTAACCCCCATCTACAGCAATAACTTGGCCAGAAATGTAAGAGGCTGCCGGCAGACAAAGAAATGCCACCAACGATGACACCTCCTTTGGCTCCGCAAGTCTACTGATCGGAGTCCTCTCCAAGAGATGAGCATATTCTTTCCAAACCTCCGGGTCCTGAAAGCCAATTGAGGCGAGAAAACATAAGATCAGAGACAACAAGGCCCGACCTCAACTCAAAAAACAGACAAGCAAGCAGGCATGAAAGATTTATGGAGGAGCGGAGAAACATTAGTTACATACAGGTGGGAGGATGCCAGTCTTGGTTCCAGAAGGGGCAACCGCATTTGCCCGGATGTTGTCTTTGGCCCATTCACAGGCCAAGTTCTTGGCCAATTGGTTGATTCCAGCTGGGGAGGTCAAACATTATCAGCTGCTTAACAAACAGTAGTGTCGAATACTACAAGGAAGATGGTTATATGTTGGGTACCAGTACCACCTTTGGTTGCTGCGTAACCCGATAGAAAAGGAAGAGCCACCAGCCCGGCGATGGAAGAGATAAACACAATGCTTCCATTTCCAGATGCTTTCAACATAGGATATGCCAACTGCGACAAATAGAAAGGTGACTCCAAGTTTGTCGCCATCACAGTTGAGTAGTCTTCCACGGACCAATCTACTGTCTTTTTATACGCCGTGGTTCCTGCGTTGCTCACCTAAATATATTGAGATAAATAATTTTAGTCACTTAAATTCAACTAGTTTTGTTTTGTTTCGTTTGTACAGTACCGAAATCTTTAATCAAAGGAGTTTGTGTTTGGAAATCGTTCAAATTATTGAAACGGATTAATTTTCTAAGAAACGGTAACAATGACCTAATTAATCAGGAACTCACGAGGATATTAAGCTTCCCGTCGAAAATGGAAGAGACCATCTCCATCAAGTTTCGCCGGTCTGAAGTGCAAGTCAGGTCACAGACGGAGGCGGTGACTTGAAACCCTTTGTCCTTCCATTCAAGCAGCCTCTGGTCGATGTCTTGCTGGTTTCGGGAACAAGTATGGACCCTGGCCCCGAATCCGGCAAGTTCCTCAACGATTGCAAGCCTGTCGTGTCGCAAGTGCACAAACAAAACCTTGGTATTAATTACCATCACCGTCATCATATCGACAGACAGCAAAGAAAAGAACAGAAGGAAGGGGAAAAAAAATGCCTGAAGTTATGAAATTACCCAATGCCTCTGCTGCCGCCAGTGACAAGGGCTGTCATACCCTTGAGAGACCACCTCCCTTCTTGCATGTTCAATCTGGATCCGGATCAAGCGATAATAAGCTTGGTACTTTTGATTTGTTGCACGAGGTCTCACGTTTATATATACAAGATTTCCGCTACGAGGCGGTCGATGGAGTCCATTGGAAAGGATATATCGACAATGTCTGCACCCACGCCGTCATTGTTTAATATGCTTGCAGCCGCTGACTGCAAATTCAAAGAGCAGATAGAGGTGGGGACTGAATCAAGGGGCGCTGAAAGACGACGACGAACGGGTATTACTATTGCTTATGCAATGGATTCAATTCACACATTTCACATACTTAAGGTCAAGTCAACATTTTCGCTTTTGCGCACCTTAATTTGTTGCTGCCGAGGTATCCATTGATGCATCGTTCATGCATATGCCCGCATCCCAACTTGTTTGTACCATTTGGACTCGCCAAATCTTTACCCGTCACGCCCTCTGCACAATTTGCTCTGTTGTTTTAGTTTCGTATTTTACGTGCAACGGTTTGATTCGGTCAAGAACCCACGACTGAATCGAGATAGTCTGAACCAAATCACGCACTTACTCAGTCCAGCTACCGCCACTACCATGACCATCACTGGATCTTTCACGAGAATTCTTCAGTCATTCACCCTTAACTTGTTGAACTATGCAGCTTGGCGGCCGTGGCGCTTGTAAGCGATGGCAAAAACAGATAGGGTTGTTGATGAATTTTACAACAACAGATCAATGCCAGATTTGGCTTGCTGCGTCCCTTGCCTTGAGTCTGCATTTTGAGCTCAGAAAGGACCACCCGAATCACATATAAAGTGATCCGTTTTCTCGAAATTTCGACATACCATGACTGCATGTTATTCTTCACAACCCAATGTAGAACAACACACAACACAGGAGAGAGCTAAGGCAGAGGAGGGAATACTTGCGAATGGGGAGACAGAACAGCTTGCTGGATGTACTTTTTCGGATTGTTGGGATCAACCACCCATTGAAGTTCACTCATGTTGGGCGTCTCCACAAACGCCATCGTGAATTCCCCCATCTTCTTTATCCTTCCCCTCCTCCCTGCCCTCAGATTCATCTTGTTGTTGTCCCCGCTGTTGGAGAAGATCCCCTTCTCCAATCTGATAATGTCTCCCGCGTCAAAAGCATCGCAGTCCTCGCCCCATAGCTCTAAGTGCACGGCCGCAGTCTCATCAGCTACCAGCGCACGGCACGTCTTGCTCTCCCCTTTCATCTTAATTCTGCTCTTCTCCAACAATATGAACGTTGTGGTTATGTTGTTCTGAGCGGCAGGGACAATGTCTATTAGATGAATGGCGGCGTCCATGCTTCTCAATTGTTCACTCTTTATCTTACTCCAAATCCCTGAACCTGCCTGTTACTAACAACAAGCGCAACTAACGTATGGATTCAGCTACATCCAGCAGAGCATTCTGTCGAACACATAAAGGGCAAGCGTCAGTCAGGCACGACATGGCGAGATTACACACCTCAAGGAAAATCGAGATGCATATGGCCACACAGTTGAGAAATTTTGGATGAACATGGAAATTTTTATGATCGGCTGAAGATGGAAAACCTTGAATACTGATGATGGAACACTAAACCATCTTTCTTCATCTCAAATTCTAGCCACCCAAACTTCGCCCAAGAGCCCTAACTTCCAATTTCAGGAAATTACAACAAGTTTAATGGAGGAATACCTCAATCAAAAGATGAAAATGGCTCAACCCTTCTTCCGGTCAGCTTCACCTTTTCATCTTCCTCTTCCGTTACTTCTCTTTCTCTGTTTCTTTTCCCGAGTTCCACTACAGAAGCTGGGAAGGGACAGCGTCTGGAGGAACGAGAAGAAACCTGACAATGGAGAACACGCTTGTGAACACGGCGGGAGAAGGAATCAGAAACAGGGGGAAGAAGCAAAGATACGTTGTTGGTCCATTGAGGAAAGCCTGAGAAACGAATGGTTCTTCCAGCGAAAAAGTTAGTCTCCTAACAGGCCATTTTGTTAGGAGATACTGACAGGGTCAGATTTTGGGCCACGTTAGCTTGGGCTTCATCCAACGGAGGAGAGTGGCAGCTAGGTGGTGGCTCACTTAAATGAGCTGGAGATGGGCTTCCGTGTAGAAGCTGGCCCAGCGTGCGGCGCAGAAGGCAAGCCGAGCAAGTGGCTTGGTGGGCCCGGGGCCAGTTTGGGCGGGATTTTGGGTTGGAGTGGAAAGAGAACGAAATTTTTGGGCCCCATGTGATATATATGTATGTTTGTTTGTGCGGATATTTATTTCTTTTCAGTCGATATTATTATGTGTTGTGTTGATATTACTTTGCATCATTGTTGAAATGAACTAGTATTTTTTCTTCGCAAACCAATATCCATCATTAAATTAATATTTACCAAACCCCAAAATAACCCAACCACCCAAAACTGATTACACCAATTTGTGAAGGATTGGAATATTGTTTCTTACATCAAATTAAACACACTAGGAAATTAAACACACTAGGAAGTCCTAACACGTAAGGCTTGCAACCTTAGTTAGGGCTGCCCGCCGAGGGCCCATGGGCCGAAGGCCCATTAAATAATAATAGTTTTATGATTTAGGGTTTGTGTTACGGTTTAATGTTAAGGGTTTAGTCTGTGTGTGTTGGGTATTAGTCTGTGTGTGTTGGGTATTAGTCTATCATGGTGACGATATTAATTATGGTATCATCGGATATTAGTCTTAGAGGGTGGGATATTAGTCTGGGTGGTGTGGACATTTTTTTTATGGTGAACGGATATTAGTCTGGATTGGTTTGTATATTTGTTTTATGTGGTGTTTATCTATGTTTCTGATTTAGTGATTATAATTTAGGATTTAGTTTTTGTGGTTTAGTGATTATGGTTTATTTTTTTAGGAATTAGGGTTTAGAGTTTATATGTAGTTGGTTGGGTTTTGATTTAGGTTTTAGAAGACGATATTGTGAAATTTTTTATGAATACAATGTAGGGTGGTTCGATATTTGTTTATGGTGATAAGATATTATTATGTGATGGGAAGTTAGATATTAGTCTGTGTGTGGTGAGTATTAGTCTATAATGGTAACGATATTAATTATGGTATCAGCGGATATTAGTCGTAGAGGGTGGGATATTAGTTTGGGTGGTGTGGACATTTTTTTTATTGTGAACGGATGTTAGTCTGGGTGGGTTTGGATGTTTGTTTTATGTGGTGTTTATCTACTTATTTGTATATGATTACATCAATTTAGGGTTTAGTGTTAGGGTTTAGACTTTAGGACTTAGAATTAGGGTTTACGGTTTAGGATTTTGATTTAGGGTTTAGATATTAGTCTGTGTGTGGTGGGTATTAGTCTATCATGGTGACGATATTAATTATGGTATCATCAGATATTAGTCTTTAACGGTGAGATATTAGTCTGGGTGGTGTGGACATTTTTTTATTGTGAACGGATATTAGTCTGCAAAGTCGGATATTAGTCTGGGTTGGTTTGGATATTTGTTTTATATGGTGTTTATCTATGTTTGTTTGTGTTGATATTTAGTTTAAACAAATCCGTAACAAAACAAAGTCGTTTTTCGACAAACCGCGATACAACTAGTATTCAGTGTCATTCCAACTTTGCAATCTCATAATCTAAAATCCGTAAAATTACAACCACAAAAATGAAAAAGGAATAGTTCAAATGTTGTCTTGCTTGGCCAAACTTTATATAATATTTTTGATCATATCCCTCAAAGCCCTCCGTGTTCGATCATGCCATTTTGGGGTGTGGATAATTGTTATGCTGAACGGATATTAGTTTGTGACGTTCGGATATTTAGGCTGGCTGGTTTGAATATTTGTTTTGTGTGAATGGATATTAGTATGTAATGGTTAGACATTAGTCTGTGTTGTTTGGATATTTGTTTTGTGTGGATATTTATCTACTTAATTTATATTATTGTTGAAATGAACTAGTATTTATCATCCCCAAATCATAAAATGTATTCCATAACAAAACACTGGTTTTCAAGTATTGGGAGAAAAAAATACCAATAGATTACATAACTAATATCTGGACAACCAATTGCATACTAGAATCCACATCATCAACAAGTATTAGTCTGGGCTTTCAGGATATACTTTGGCACACAAAAAGTATTAGTCTGAGCTTTAAGGATATTATTCTACATAAAGACAGATATTTTTCTCGGAGGTTACGTTATATTTTTGAGAATTTATGTTGGTAATTATATCCAACATTTAACAAAATATTATCCATTTTGCTACAAACCAACATCTTTCCCTAAATATTATCTAACCCTAAGTTCAGTTTTACAAACCAATATCACACTACACAAATCTAAAATAAACTTTTCTTCCTTTTCCCTCATCGTCTTGGTCATCACTTTCTTCATCCTCAATTTCTTGGTCCTCATTTTGTTGTTGTTGTTTGGCACATTTAGGCCTAAAGGTTTCGCCTTCTGATGTGGTCCTCATTGCAGTTGATTTAGTTCTTGTCATTATGATTTCCCTGCCCAGTAGAATATCCTGACATTAGCTAATCAATAGCTGGACTCCACATAACGAATACCCTAACGATCAGAAGTAATATCAAACAAGTCATATCCAAATATATCAAACAACTATCCAGGCAATTCACAAAAGATATCATGGTCGACCAAAACCAATATCAATGTAGGAATATCCAGATATATCAAACAACTATCCATCCAATTAAAAACTGATATCCTGCCCGAAAAGAACTAATATCGGAACGCACACAAAACATATCCACAAAACCCAAAAAACAAAGCAACCCAGATCTAATCAAATCCACAAACAAAGCAACCCAGACCCAGATCCAGTCACATCCACAAACCCAGAAAACATATCCGCATAATCCAAATATATCAAACAACTATCTAGGCAATTCACAAATGATATCATGTAGGGGTGGCTATTTGGACCGGGACCGGATTAAAAACCGGAAACCGGACCGTATAACCCGGACCGAGACCGGACCGGGACCGGATAGTAAACAATCCAATCCAATCTTTGGGCTTAGATTTGAGGTAAAAAACCGGATAAAGACCAGATAAGAGAGCTCAACACCCAAAACTTAAGGGTAATTTGCATAAACGGTCACAAACCTTTGCACTTAGTACAAAACTTAACCAACTGCTCACCCTTTAAGGCTTTAGGCCACTCAAATCCCACAATCTCAATGTAAAATCAAGACCGAATTGGGACCGGACCGGATCAAAACCGGACCGGATCAAGACCGGACTGTATCCAATCCAATCTTCGGTCCTTATATTTTCAAAAAGACCGGACTGGACCGGATCAATTTGGGCCAATTTAACCGGACCGGACCGTATAGCCACCCCTAATATCATGGTCAACCAAAAACAATATCAATATAAGAATATCCAGATATATCAAACTACTATCCAGGCAATTAAAAACTGATATCCTGCCCGAACAAAACTAATATCGGATGGATGAAATCGGCTCTATTCCCACACTTTCTGGCGCGTTCTCTCCTCCACCGATGGATGAAGCCTTGGCGACGTGGAGGCCGATCCGCCCCTGTTAGCATCTCCTAACAAGTGCCCTTGTTAGGAGCATAACTAGATTGGTTCTTCCAGCGACAGAGGGGGGCGGTTTTTATTCTAACTTTAGGGTTTTATCATAGTTGGAAGAAGCCGCCGGAGAGCTTCTGGTTTTGTCTTTTATTAAGGATTTCTTCCTTCTCCCGTTTTGTTCTCTCTCTCCGCCGTGCTGGTGTTGGCGGTGGTCGTAGTTGCGCGGCGGTGAAATACTGAAGAGAATAGCGTTGTTTCAGTTATCGGGTTTCAGAGAATAGCCTTTTTATCCCCCGGCTAGGGCCGGCCCATCTTCCACCGGAACCAAGTCTAGAGTTCTCTCTCAGCTTTTGGTCCTAGGGCCCATTGGAAAATTATAGGGCAATGAGAAAACCCTCGTAAAATATCACTGTCAAGTGTCAACCGTATATTTTATTAGCAACGAAATACATTTATCATACGAAATAATGAATATAATTGTTTTATTAAGATAATTAGAAATCAAAACGTGTTTCACCAAAAAAATATATATATACAAAAAAATCAAAACGTGAGGAGACATGCTAAAGTGACGATGAACGTTTTGATGTATACACAGTGGCGGACCCAGAAATTTTTTATAGGGGTGTCCTCTTTTAAAAAATAAATTAAATAAAAATAATTGATAAAAATAAAATTGTAAATATGAAAATACCTTACTCGTTAGGTTAAAAAAAGTCCATGATATGTTTTCATATTCTATAGTGTTAAAAAAATTG